GTCAAATAAATACGTGACTCTATCGTTAAAAAAGGATATCATGTCATTTACATCTACCAGAGTATATATATGATTCCAAAAAATATCGTGTAGGTCCATCAAAAATAAATCGTAATTGAACTTGGAAAAATCTCTGTACGTTTTAAAACTAATAGAGTGTTTTGGCTCAAACAGCTTAATGTCACATTTAACAAAACGATGATCAGAAATATCATCCATTCTGTAAACATCCACAGTGCCGGTAATTTCCGGACAAGAGGTTACAATTATATCAAGAAGTGACCGAGAGGTAGCGGTTACTCTAGTGGGTTCACTAACCAATTGGTTTAAACCGTATTTACTTAAAAGTCTAAGAAATAAATTAGAATCATAATTATTATTAACTAATAAATCCACATTAAAGTCACCGCCAAACAATACGTAATCAAATTCTGGTAACAGCGCAACTAGCATACTTTCCAAGTTATCAATACATGCATTTAAGGCAGCTGATGGCGGCCTATATAACGTTCCAAAACAAACTTTTTTATTCGCTATTCTAATACTAATCCACATATATTCCAGAGGACCATCTGGGAACATGTCACCCAGTACTTTAAAAGTAAAAGATTCTTTTACAAAAAATGCCACTCCACCTCCTCTGCCCCCCCGATCTCTTCTAACTAAGGCATAACCAGGCAAGTTTACGAGACTATTCGCTAAGAAGGGGGTAAGCCAAGTTTCAGACAACCCAACAACATCAAAGGCGCCCTCAATTACAAAATCAGAAAAAAGGTCAAATCCTGAGCAAAGTGATCTAGCATTGAAATGAGAAAAATTTATCCATTTAGCCTGCATATATCGTTCTTAGTCTCCAGTGTTGTATTTCTACAAATATTACCCAAGCGATAGAATTTATAACAATAAATAATTCATAATTCAATTGATAAACTTTTTTAACCATATGCCAACATTTACAGTAAAACTACTAGTAGATTAAATTCAAGACAATAAAATAAAATAGCCTACTTTCTTTTAAACAGCAAAAAAGTTATACAAAGACAGTACAGCGCAAAGAGAACTATAGTCCTACCAAGCCGATCAAATTATATGGGCACAAAATAACATATTAATAGCAAATCAACATAACAACGACAATATACCGGTATTAACAGATACTAATTAGCTAAAATACAACACAAAAAATTGTCAACTAACTAATCAATCCACAATTTTAATCGCTAAATCGATCGCAATCTAAAAACTACAAGTTTAAACGAAATTTTAAACATACAAAACTCTAAATATCCTCCATGGATTCAATTAACATCTTTTTATCGCCCTTCCAAGCAAAGATCTTACCACCAGTAGACCAAGCTTTATTACTACCATACTTTTTCCTTGCATTGAACAAAAGCTTATATCTTTGAGAAGTCAGATCTTCAAATATAGAATAAGGAGAATTCTTCAAACGATTTCTCACACTTAATATTTCGTTTCTTTTCCAGTTGGTTACGAAGGTAACTAAAATCACACGAGGTCTATCTCGAGAATCATCCACTTTTCCCAAGCGGAAAGCTGCATCTATATTACTACCGTTACAATTTACCTTAAGGTTGGTACTGATAAAATCGATAATTGTCAGAATAACATCCTCGCCTGTAGCCTCGGGTATTCCACAAAATCTTAAAGAATTTTTCTTCAAGAGTTGCTCAAACGAGTCATACTTTTGCTTAAGAGAAGCAATTCCTTCTGTATTAGAACTAACCTTATTATCCAGAGCTCTAACAGTGTCCACGAGCTTATTTAGAGTACTTTCAAATTTACCAAATTTTTCATCCATTTTGGATTCCAACTTATTTGAAATTTTAGTACACATCTTAGTGATCAACTCCTCCATTTTATCATCAGGATTTGAACTTTGACCATCAGGAGTATTTACAGAAGCACTACGAGTTGCTTTACTTCCACCAACCATGGTACACACTACTTAATCGACCTGGTACAACCTCACCACTGCTTGCAGACTAATTTTGAGTATAATTCATTAAAAACGTAATACCAACGTTCAAAAAGTCAACTACCGGATAGATGACCGTATTACACAACACTTACGCCAACATTAGCGTAATTTACGTCTATATATCACTCATAAAGACCGTTTCAACTGGAGCTAATACGAAACGTGCTACTCATTCACAGAACATATCTCTCTCGAATGGTGTATGATATGTAATATGTAATATATAATGTATGATACATAATAAGTAATATATGGTCAATAATAAAGGAAAACTGGAAAAAAAAAGGTTTGTTTTAAAAAACCAATTTAGATCAAATATGAAAACAGTAAGGAGAAGAAGCCACTAATTCTTCTGATTGTCATAATTTGATAAAATATAAGTACTTCTTATTTTACTTGAGAAACTTTTATCATAAAACTATAAAATAGCTCATAATTTAGAAACTTTTTTGACTGCACTTAATCGCGCTAATTGTTCACTCTAAACATCTACCAACATGAATCATAGAAGAACGGAGATGCGAAAAATAATTGTAAGTTTCGATCGACTTACTGTAAGGAAGATCAAACTCAATTATTTGAGCATCGTAGTTCTTCTATGATGGGGCCCACCCGCCATTATTTTTTTTACTCACAGCGCGATTGGTTCGGTCACAAAATGAACTGGCTAGCTATCAATAAGTAGTAACGAACTGTTACGAAACACTTTTTTCCTTTAAACCTGTGCGCGCGTCATGTATAAGTTAGACCTACCAACATGAGTCATAGAAGAACTACGATGCTCAAATAATTGAGATTGATCTTCCTTACAGGTAAGTCGATCAAATCTTACAATTTTAAGGGCAATTTTAATTTAAATTGTACATTATTATATATTTTTAATAAACAAGTACTTACAGGTACATATACTTTTTACAGATCTACTTAATGTACTGTTATTTTCTAAATAAAAGTTTATAATTTGTGATAGAATTTAACCTGTTGTTTCTTTAATGTCACCTTATACATATGCCATAAACAATTATTACATAATGTATGTCTATTCGAATAAATAACACGTTGCACATTACAAGTACTTCCGAATACTTATTTTTCTTAGATTAAGCTTACACATAATATGCCTTTTTTGAAATGAATAAAATGACCTTTCAAAAAACACCCGTGTTTAATCAAAACTCATGTCAACGCAAAGATATGGCAAATAATAAAAGGTTGTGTCAGATATTGTAAGCGACTTCTATAATTTGGTAAAAAATAAGCTCTAGTTCATTCACCCTAAAACACTAATGACGTCAAAGTCTCTTAAAAAATTTTCGGAGTTGTTACAAAAAATTTGGTAATAATAAGGTCCACAACTTTAAAAAAAAACAAGATTGTACTACGGAATCTTATTTGGTTTTTTTGGCAAAGAAACTACTGTAGAGATGTGGATCAATTATGTTTCGTGGTATTAATTTTTTTTTATTGTTATTTAATTTGTAATCCTCAACATTTATTAAAAAAACATATTCGTGATTTGTTGTTGGTTATTGTCTTTAACAAAATAATGTGAGAGTACTCTGCAATTTTTCTGCATAATCAAAAGTGTTTCGTAGCTACAAAGAGATGAAAAGTGATAGCTCTAGAGAAACATTAGTTAAATAAAGATGGGGATTATACTTATTCTTTTAGTCAGTTTTGCTTTAGCGTAAAGGCTTAAATACCTACCTTCACTTCGATGACACATTAAATGTTCGCAATTAAACGAATTTGATACTGAAGAATTGTTAGCAAACGTGCCAATCGGACACAGTTTTAAGAATGACACGTGATGTTGATGATTTCGAATTTTCTTCCAACTTTCCAACGCCAACAAAAGTATATGTCCATGTCCAAAGGGACCCAGATGATCTTCCACATGAAGCAAAAGGAGCGCACAGAAAATACAATTTGCGGTTGTTTCGAAGATTTCTGCCGAAGCTCTCTATGAAGTTTGCGTTTACATTGCTGTCGGCCTAGACCTCAATTCTCAAGCCCCAGTCACCCAGGTGAAGATTACACGGGATACATATACTCGTAGAAGCTTCCAAACTACATAAGTTCCAAAGTTTCCAAATATGCAGGTACTTTCCAGAGGCCTCAAACCAGTGATAGGCAAGGCAAAGTATAAAGACAGTGATAATAGACACAAGGATACTCATATTAAAAGAGGCCAAAAACATTTTCTTAATTTACAAAATATATATAATCCTTTAGACAAGTCAATAACATTAAAACAACGTTAGTATTCTATTTAAATAGGAAAATCGAGAAATTAACCTCAATAATAACAAAATATAATCAAAACAAGTTCAGGATCATAATGTACATAAAAAGGCCGTCATTTTCTTTCCCATTTTATTGCATGCTCCGTGTAGAAGCGCACTCGTCGAAAAGCAGTATATTTCTTCAGGTATGTGATCTAATGGGTCTAAAACAAACTGCTTTTATGCCTTCAACTGGAAATTCAATAATTTTCATGAAATTCGTAATTTTGTTTTTGTAAAACTTTTAGCGATCGTAGCGTCCACCATCCCTCAGATAGCGCGCCCACACTTTAGGAACTACTGATATAATGCAAAGACTGCTTATTTATAAATCTTATATGGATGGGTTTTAGTATAAACATGAATATTTCTTTAAAGGAACGCATTTATCTCGTACATTCAATTGTGTTGTACATTCAATTGTGTTATCGTAATTGTATGACAGTGGAGAGTATGTTCGTAATGACACTGCATTTATTTATTTTCTAAACAAAATATTGAAATTCATTCAGTGAGACGAGAAATTCAAATCGAATCAGCAATGATCTTTGAAATTTGCAATTCATTAATTGAGAAAAGAAATTCAAATTTAATCAACAATGATATACAAACTTGTCGACTGTAAAGGTCAGCGACATTTAACCTTTTCTTTTTTTGTGATAAGAAATAAATTTATATAAACTTTAAAAAATGGGAAAGCCTTAGTCAGTGTATTGAAAAGCAAAATTGAGCATATTAAATTTCACATTCTAGACAGGACAACTAAAGAATTGAGGTGCCTGACTTTTCCTCGTATACGTCACTGGTTAAATCATTACTTGTTTGGCAGCGGAATTGAAAGGTATCAAAAACTGTTTTATTATTTTTGCATCATTAATACAAAACAAAATATTAAATTATTTAGTTATTATTAAGGATATATTTATTTTAAAACTATATTGTGTGGGCCATTTTGGCGATGTATGTATTGGGATGTAAGATACTGTAAGAGATAGAAAAAGCATTAAATTAATTCGAAATCTGTAATTTTCTTTGCAACTTTATTTTTTCTTATGGTTCTTCGGCACATTAGTATTATTGAAAAACCTTAAAGAACGTTATTTGCATTCACCATAAAATCAATATCGCGTCCATAACAAAAATTGAGCTGAAAAGAAATGATGTCTCGATATTGCAATATTGGAACAAAAGTCTAAACTCACAGTGAAATTCATTAACAGAAAATTGCCATAAAAAAGTGTTTACTAATTTGAAAAACTCGTAAAATTAAATAAATGTACTTCTTTGATGGCAGATATTCTTCTGGTCTGAAATGTAACTCCAAACTAAGAAATACACAAAAATAGTTTTTAATGTTTTAAGGAATTTCCCTTAACATATAACGTGCTTTGTTTCTAGAATACGAAGTATAATATTCAGCAATGTTCAATTACAATAAAAAAATACTGAATCATATCAAAAAATTTAAATTGTTGGTAAAGTTCCGATTAAAACAAAAAAATAAAATATTATAAATAAATACAAGTACATAAGCAGGTACCTGCATTCGTGCAGACATTAAGTTGAATGTTTACATTTTTTCCGTATATTTCATGTGAGCTTAGTAATCTCAGGTTAACACGTTAAGATAAATTAACGATTTATCTGTACTGTCACGAATCACTACTCCGCTTAGGGCCAAATTATTCGAGCAAGTTTATCTTGCAGTTATCTAACTAGAAGATTAAAATATATTGGCATCTGTACCTTTCAATTGGAACAAATCACATCTTAAGCTTATAGTTAGTTACTGTAAGTTAAACTTGCTTTGATAATTTGGTCCTTATTCCTTCACCACCGTACAGACTAAACGATTTCCCTTGTACGATAAATCTGTACAGTTTGATTTGTTATGTGTTTAGTAGGCTTAAGGAGGTTTATCGGGTACGGAGGTACGTCTTAAAGTCTAACGAGAGTTTCTGTACATTCGCTAGTGACTAAAGTAGTAAGCCTTTAGATTTGGCAACGTTGCACCTGGCTGGCTTTGTTTGGATGCCTAAGTTTGAAATATACACCATATGTCACACCTGCGAATTTCAAATAATACGCTACGTCGAGAACCGCGACGTTGCCGCTATCACGCATATGGACGTTAAGTTAATCAACAACAGCAGTTTGAAGGAGAATTATTATAAATTATATATCTTACAAGTACCTAATCGATTTCTACGAGCTGTCATACGGTTCCTTAGATGTCGGTTTCCTATTTATACAAGTTGCTGTAAAAACCGTTTGTCAATTGATGCGCATTCTAAGTGGAAAGACCAAACAAATCTGCATTCTCATAAGACTGTACTAAATCGTGAAAAATTATTTTATTAATATCTCGTCTCTTAGGTATCCAAACTAGTCATAACTTTTTTTGAGGATTTTCTTCATATTAATAAGTTTATAGTATTTTTTTTATGAATATTTGTTCGTCAATTCCAAATCCGATAAACCTCCTTAAATAGATGACATAAACACATCACACGACAGTGTAGCGTTTGCAATTTCAATACGTTCCTCTCAACATTTTAATATGATTTTGAATAATATAATTTTAAAGTAAAAACGTACCTTATAAAACTCTCAAGGTTGATTGCTAAAGATACAAATTTGTGCTAAAAAAAATGTTACAATCCACAAATAATAAGTTTTCAAGGAAATACTTGAATAAACAGAGTTTTGTGACTGAAGAATGAAAAGCATAATTAGCATCATATCGGTCGAACTGATTTTTCAAAGCATTATTTTCCTATGATTTAGGAATATCATTATTTTTCCATGACCAATACATTTTATTTCAAAATGGTCGATACTCCTGTTTTTTTCATAACAATTTTGAAATTAATTTTACTTCCAAATGTTGAGATCTATTAAAGTGATACGAATTATTTGTTTTAATACAAGTTTTATCGAACAGTAGAAATATGCAAAAAACTTAAAGTTAAATTTAGTCACAACCTTCTCGGTTTGATAAAATTTATTTACTTTTCGACTATGCGTTTTAAAGCTTAGAAGGAATATCCAATTTCAAAATCATTGTATTATCCTGAACAGTCTAGGAGATACATGAAAAAAACAATTTGCAGGGGCTCATTTTTAAGGAGTTGTAGCCCCTTATGAGACATTACTATGGTCTACCTATGAGCCTATGTTTATATAAATTTGCATTATTGTTGACGGGTGCAATGTAAAATATTGCAAGCTAGTTTCAGGGCACCCTGTATATGGAACGTTATTAAATTACTTCTGCCTGAAACAACTTCTATGAATCCTGGGCTTATTAAAAATTCACCAATGTTTCCAAAATAATTCAAGAAGCCTTTCAGATGCCTTCCACGGGGCACAAATCCCAGCAAAAATATGTAACAGTAGACAAAGGGTCACTGCCAGGTAGAAAATAAAATTTGTTATATGTTTCGAAAATTACCAAACAATTTCCTACCAAGCCCTGATCGCCGTCAAACATCATCAGCCATCGCAGACGATGCTACCAAAGCTGAGCTGAGCCTCCGCCAACAAGCGCGCAAAGGTGCGAAGATTTTCAACTTACCTCTGAATATTTGAAAATTAAAATATCTCCAAATATTACGAAATTCGGACTAAAGCAGCAACATATCAATATGAATTATCAAAATTAGTTACAGGTCTATAAACCTTCCAGAACGAGTACCATTCTAAGAAGGGCGGTTTTTTATGAGGCGACATTTCGAAATTCGAAGAATCCCTAGAGAAACCCTACGGACCCGTGTACCCTGCAGTTTATTAACCATGGACGAATACTTGGCCAGTAAACTATGTAGTATTCTCTAAATTTTCATGTTTACTATATATATAAAACTTTCACAAATGCATTCATTAAATTATCAAGGTTTTCAGTAAATCCCACAATTTATAAAATTCAAAATTGTAAAGAATTTAAAAAAAGATTGACGAAACCTATCAATAAAATATAAATGTAATGCCTGCACAATAGACACCAAATGAACGTACTCGCAATTATAAATAATAAACAATAGTGCAAAAGTCCAAAAAAATTTAAACTCTCGAGATGCTGTGTGTTATAGTCAAAACCAATAGAACACCTCGCATAAGCAAAACACCTCGCTATAGTGGAAGAATGACAAGCATGGTGTAGGTAACTTTAAGCATCCGTTTAGGTAGGCGTGAAAAGGAAGACGTTCGATCACCCCGTTTGCCTCCTTGCGGACGAGCAGGAGACGAACACAAAATAACAGAGTAGTTGTAGTTTTGATATTTCTTCATAAAAATGGGTACCTAACAATACAAATATTTTCTTTAATTTCAAATTGATATTTTTGGATACAGTAATATTCACTGTACCACTTTTTGTTTACGAATATTTATTTTACTCTCAATTTTTCTTTGATGTTAGTTTGTTCAATTTTTATTTCAGTATTGTAAATAGTTAAATGTTAAAAATACCTACATGTTTATCAATTTTTTAACACTACTTCCATAATTAGCTTGTCTACAGGAAAGAGTTCTAATAATAGTACGCCTATGAGCAGGAAATCTAACAATGAAGTTTAACATATTTACTATTTATTCTTAACAGAATACGAAAATAATCACTAATATTTTATTTCCAAGTAAGACTTAGGAAATAGAACCGTAAGATATTTCAAAGTTCACGAAATTTAAACATTGAATGTATTTTTTACAAAAGAAATGTGCCCTTGACTTTAATAGAATGTTCCCCTTTCCCGTAAAATTGAGTTCTATATGTCCATAAAAATGTAAACAACGGTCAATACATCGAGTATCCCATTAGCCTGATAGACTTGACACTACATTCAAAATTAAGAAATAGATACAAATCTGAAAATGCTTTCTACATGGACGTAGGTGCACACATTTCAACCAATGTGTTTCCCTTGTGCATCAATAAATTTAAAAAAACAGTCACTTCAAAAACACAGAAAATATCAAGAATTCAAAAAAGAAATCAAAGAGAAACAAAATTTTAAAATTTTTTCTTAAAATTATTAATGACTTTTGGGACATAATCAACATTTCTGCCAATGGATAATATTTACGCTAATAATAGACATTGGTCTCAGAAGCTACGCTACTACGTATCTAACGATAAGAAATATCAAACATCGCAGTCTGTTTTGTGCGATTACTTAAAATAGTCGCAACGTGTTTATAGCAAATAAGTATCATTGTCTAACAACCGAAGGGTGAGTGATTATCGGAAATGTTAAGGCGGTTGCAATGTAGTACAGGGTTGGCTGTATGGCTGGTTCTCTTTTATGTAATTTTATTAAAAAAAAGAGACACAACCGTTGCCTTCTCATAACTGCAATATTTATATTATAAGAATATACAGGGTGATTTCACTGCAAGAATAGATTCATTACCAAAAAGTAAGTTTTCTCTATAAACTTTTATCCTGGGGAATGCGGTATTCGAGATACAGGATGTTAAAGTTTACAAAACAAATTATATTTTGTCTCATATCTTCATAATGCGCTGACGGAATTGAATGAAATTTACTATACCATATTCAATTAATTAGGCCTTTTATTGATTGTAATATTAACCCCCTGGCTTTAACCAGTGGCGTGCTACTGGAGGAGCCACCCCATTTTACCAAGAAAAATATACGAAACTGGCGGTTTTTTGTAGAAATAATGTTACATTCAGGTACTGTTACGTTAAATGAATGAAAAGTGTTACTTCCTCTTTTTTAATAGTAGCAGTCGTTTAGGAGATATTTGGGATTGTTTTTACGTTATATTGAATTTTTCTAATAAATTAATCCTTTTATTTGATGAAAATGTGCTACTAAAGCGTTCGCGAACTTTTCCCTAGAAAAGAATACACCACTGGCAGTTTTTGTAGAAATAATTTTATTTCTGGAAAAAATATTAGTCTAAATAATAAAATAGGTAACATTAGCAAATAATCATAACATGATTTTCTCTCAGGAGGTTACACTTTTCCTATATTCTTCGCCACAACTCGTGTTCACACAAGGACTTCAGCTTGAAGAATAAACAAACAAAGCTTAGCAAAGTTATAACACTAAAACGAGATCATCGTAAAGCTTACTAACTGATAATGCGGACAAAAAAATTAATTTTTGCAAATAGATTTTAAACAAATATGACAAATAAGTAAATTATCTCATATACGGATGCTACTATTAAAAAACACCAACTAACAATTTTCATTATTTTAATCTAACCTGAATTTAATAATATTTCTAAACAGAATCGCCAGTGGTGTATTTTTTCTGGGGAAACGAAGCGGCACTTCCAGTAGCACGCCACTGGTTAAAGCCACAAGGTTTAATAATATATTCAATAAAAGGTCTAATTTAGTGAATACGCTATAGTATATTTCATTAAATTCCGTCAGTACATTATGAAGATATGGTAGAAAAAAATTTTTTTGTAAATTTTAACACCCTGTATCTCGAATACCAAGTCCCGCAGGAAAAAAGTTTATAGAGCAAACTACTTATTTTTTGGTGGTGATAGTCCTGCAGTTTCCGTATTTAAAGGGAAATCACCCTGTATATGTAAGAATTTGGATAACAGTGAAACAAAAAGAGGTAGTGTCTATTTTTCTACTCAAATCGCTTGACATGGAACTTACTATGAAATATATAGGTATAATACGTAATAAATAGTACCAGCAAAAGTTAAAAATAAAATAATTACTTACTCATAAGGAAAGCGATTGGAGAGAATAATTAACAGTTAGTTGTCCTAAGTGTTCTGCGGTCAATCCTCCCCGGCGATCGGTAAATACCCATTTAAAAACGAAAATTACCGTTCAACATTTACCAAGGTCACAGGCGCATATCTGAAGTAGTAGAAATTTTTAATAGATGCTATTTTTATTAATGGTGGCGAAGCATCAACTACTTCGCACATACATGTACATTCGACGTAAGATAAAGGTTTCCAATCTGAATCGTATTTTGTTTGAAATATCACGGCTTAACCGCTTGTCTATATGGGGCGTTCCCATCAAACTCGTCGTTGAATGAACAGTATGACGATATTCCACCAAATAGAGATACGCTCTGGGGACGTATACAAAATATTTGATATGTTATAGACGTGAATTATATACGACGCCTTGTTACATCTACGCCAAACAGATTACAAGCCGTTATTGATTCGGATGGTGGTTGGAATATTATTAGACTGTTTTGTTTTTTCATTGTTTATAAAATTATGTCAAAATAAGTAAATAAGTTCATAACATTATGGGCTCGGAAATGCTTCCTTTCCGATAGATGTAAAATTTAAAAAAAATCTGTTTTTCTAAGTATTTCGACGATTTAATATATTACACTGAGCTTTGGTGCATAATACAATGGCAGTGTAATATCTTAAATCGTTTTCGAGATATTTAAAAAACCTCTTTCTCGAAAAATTTCTTTCGACTTCTATCTCAGAAAGGAAACATTTCCGGACCCATAATGTCATAAACTTATTTACTTATTTTCACTTCCAGAACACGTCCTTAAAATATTTCCCTTTCCTCCCGAAACTGTATAAGTTATAATAAAACTGTAGTTTACAATAATTTTTTATTTTGTTGCCTTCATGACCTACAGCAGAATATGACACAAATTCTTATTTCAAATTATTAATTTTTTCAGGGACAAGAAAAATAATGTGGGAAGACAAAATAGTTTCAAAACCTGTATACCTTCTCTTTCATAATGCATATACTTCAGGCCTGCAATTTTTTGTTATGTCATTACACACGTGCCTACACAAAAAAAATATGACACGCCCCTAATTATTGATGCCTCCCAAAATTCCTATTAATAGTCCACCGGCTCACCCCTTTAAATGTAGTATGCCTTTTAGGTTGGAAACCTTTATCTTGCGTCGAGTGTACATGTCTGCCTCTGATTTGAAGCTTCGTATCGATCAGTTTATTCGATACGTATCTAGCAGCACCCTAATGCCTGCTCTGTCGGTCTGCATGCCGTGAACAATCCAGGTTTTTTGCCGAGGGACGTTGGCCGAGCTTTCACTGTCGTTTATGCTTGTATGAGTGCTTGACGCTTTGCTTGGTCGAGTATACGGCACATATTTTTGTGGCATTCGGTAGCTTTGTGTATCTTGAGAATAGCGACACACGGTTTGGTCATAGATTTAACCTGTTTCTGCTACTACAATGCGTATTGCCGCTTAACAAACCTAACAATATAGATTACTACTGTTTACTTGATTGTCGCCAAAAAGTTTCCGATGTGTACTGATTAGGTACATATGACATTTCCAATATTTCGTTATTTCTTACCCACTAAATAACAGAAGAGAGTTTGTTGTAATTTAGAGGATATGAAAGTTACTGAAAATTTACAGAAATAATAATATTGTATTTTAAAGTTTTTTCTGACCTCAACAATAATATCGGACTTCGTTTTATAAAATACTAGAAAATGTACCGTGTGGTATAGGTACATTTAAGCATTTATTTATTTATTTTTTCAGATGTTACTGTCTTCGTCATGGCTAATAGATATTTCACTTCTCCTTTCTATAACCGTCTACATTCTATATAAATATTTCTCAAGAAACTACGACTACTGGAAGAAAAAAGGTGTCTATTATTTAAAACCAAAGCCATTTATTGGCAATCTTTATGATGTAATCACTTTCAAGAAAACAATGGCGCATTGGCAACAAGACGTTTATAAGTCTACAGATGGACCTTATGTAGGAGTATTCGTATTTCATAAACCTGTGTTATCATTGAGATCACCTGAATTAATCAAAGAGGTATTAATGAAGCACTTTGATCATTTCTCAAACAGAACCGCTTTAGCCCCAGAACATAACCAAATATTCGCAAACACATTATTTCTCTTGAAAAATCCGGAGTGGAAACTGATGAGATCGAAGGTGACACCTGCATTTACCTCTGGGAAACTAAGAGGAATGTTTCCTATTTTAAAAAACATCGGACATGAAATGAATATGTACCTGAACAAGAACCGTGGACTCTTGGAGGCCAAAGATTTAGGCACAAAATATGCGGCTGAAGTTATTGCAAGAACAGCATTCGGAATAAACGCACGCTGTTTCGATGAAGAAAAAAGCAGTTTCTATGAAATTGTCTCTTTGTTTTTTGATTTTAATTGGAAAACCGCTGCATCGCAAACTGCATTTTTTTTCATGCACGGTGTAGCAAATTTACTTCGCTTGGAATTCGTAGATATTAATGCGGTTAAATATCTCAAAGAAGTGTTTTCCTGTACCATTGAACAAAGGGAAAAATCAAATGGAAAAGGAAATGATTTGATTGATATTATTGTGGAGCTGAAAAAGGATAAAGAATTTTGCAATAGAATGAAATTTGGTAAGAAATATACAAATACCGTTTCAATAATAGATATATTTGATCCTAGATTTTATAGATCACGTCGTTGATCTTCTTGTTCACCTTATCCTCCTTCCCCGGAGTTCTGGAAATCTTGGAGATTTTCCTTTCTGCCTGGATTGTTCAACAACACTAAATCTCCTGCCTTAAACCTACTGGTATCGGCTCCGACACCTTACCGGGTTTTCAGACGATCGCTTTCAAACTTTATTTTCTGTCAGATGTTGACGTGGATAGCATCGATTATTTTGGCTAACTCGAATGGGTAGTCTTCTAGTGTGCCAATTCGATCTTCAGGATAGCCGTAAATAATGTTGAAGAGTAGCCCCAATTCTCTACCGAAGACTGTGCTGGCTGGTGTTCTTCTGGTCTCATAGACTGCTGATCGGTAGGCCAATGGTAAAAGAGGCACTTGTCGGTCCAACCATGCCGTTAGATTGTGGATGCAGGGGTGTTGTTCAGATTTTTTTGATATTCTTCAATTGGTAAATTCTTTGATACACAACGATTCAAAATTTCGCCGTTGATTCGACAACAATTCTCTTGAAACGTCGAATATGTAGGACAGGTTTTCAACAAGAACTTCAACTACAGTCACTACCTCTTGATTGGGGAGAGATATACTTCGGGCCATTTACTGAAATAATCCAACGCAATCAGGAGGTGGCGATTTCCAGATTCACTTTGGGTACATGATCCGGAGACGTATGCGGTAAATCTCTTGAAGGGAGCTACAACGTTGTACTGTTTCATCTGACCTCGACTTCTAGTTCTAAGTCCCTTGTTGCTGGAGCAAACAGCACACCGGCGACGTGATACCAATCCTCTATATCTGATCGGCTTCCTAGCCAGTAGAACCATTATCTAACTTAATTCAAAGTCTTGTTTATACCGTAGTGTCGTCCACCTATTCCATCACGAACTTTTCTAAACACCTCGTTGACTCTGTTCCTTGGAAGTACAACCTGCTTACGTACTTTTCTGAAATCTGGACTTTCCTATTGCCTCTTCAATAATCAATTTTCTAAGATAAAGAAGTCCCATACTACCCAGTAACCTTTTAACGTCGATGATCTGTCCGATATTTCTGTTCATTTTGGTAGAGTTCCATGTTCTTTGCAGCCAATTTTCCAATTGATTTAAGACCGTCACCATTCCATTAGTCTTCACTAAGTTTTAAGTTTCCATTACAATTTCTATTCTTCAGTAGTTTTCTGGTTTTGCTAATGCCTTGCTGATGTAAGCTATTACTCTTTCTTCTCAATCCTGGATTTGTGATTCCAATTTAGGAACCACTTTTGCATGTCATTAGTTCTTCATGTCCTGTCCTCATAACAGATCTTAGTGTATATTGTCCTGTCTTCATTGCCATAGTCTTTCCATTTAAATTAAATGTCTGCTACTTTAGGTCTTGCACTCACTGGAATTCACTCCCTTCACAAAATAATAATCTACAGAATCCCGCTTCTGACATCAATTTGTAACAAATTTTCTTTACTTAGTACAATAACTTACAAACTTTGAGACTTTGACACTTCACAATAACAAACTGTAACTTGACCATCCAAAACTACCCCCGTGCTTTAGCGCGGCCGTTTATATATTCTTTACTGGAGATAATGATCTCAATAACCTCCAAAGTAGTAAATATTGTAATTCTTATCCATAATATAACACATATCATTATTTTAGAAGGAGAAAAGATTGTATCTCAACCCATGCAATTCTTTGCGGCAGGAGTAGAAACAACAAGCTCTGCAATATCATTTACCTTATACGAATTATGTATACACCCTGAAATCCAGAACAAATTACGAGAAGAAATACGGAATTATCTTACAGAAAACAAAGAGATCACCTACGAGAATTTAACACAACTGAAATATATGGAAATGTGTATTCTAGGTAAGCAGGTTTTTTATTTTTTTTTTTTCGATGATGATAATGACAATACTAAATAATAATAATTAATGTCTTAGAAACCCTTAGAAGATATCCTGCGTTGCCTTTCCTTGACAGGCTATGTAATAAAGATTTCACAATTCCTGGAACTGATATTTTAATTGAAAAAGGAACCCTGGTCTACATTCCTTTACTAGGATTACATTTTGATGAAAAATACTTTCCTGAACCAGACAAATACAATCCTGAACGATTTGCAGACAAAAGTACGTTGAATAAAGATGGTCTCTATTATTTACCATTTGGAGAGGGTCCAAGAATTTGTTTGGGTGAGTAAAAAAATTATAAATTTATAACTTATATCTGAAACACATAGAGTGTTCCGATGTAAATTAACATTTAAATAAATTAAAATTTAAAAAATGATTTTTATTGGTGATTGTAGATATATTTATTTGAAATTTAGCACATATTTTGATCTTAAGTCGGCACACTTTTTGAGTAATTTTGGTTTAAAATATCAAAGCGCGAACGGAGAGAAGGGGGTTGCAGTACCCATGACCTCTATTTTTTTGAGTTCGTCGATGCTTTTCGAATATTTTTTTTTTTTAGATAAAGCGGCGTTTTGTTTTATTTTTTTCACTATTGTAAGATTTTTATTTGGGACCTCATTTACTAGATATTGTAACTTTTTTGGATACGCCATAAAGATTTAGTCGGCGTTAGAATTTATTTTCTGGGGCTATATGAAAGATATGAGTCGTCTTGTTTATTTCAATTTACTGAATAAAATGGAAATGATCATCATCATGATCAGCGATATTTAATTTGAGCTAAATATCTAAAGAGTTGCAAATCCCGCACAGCAAGCTTTCGGAAATGTTTACTCCCTTTCTCGAGACATATAACCTGAAATTGAATTAAAAAAACATCAGAAAAGAGAAAACAAAAGCATTGTTAAAACTTTTGTACATTCGCTAAATATTAAAACTAATTATAACAATAGTCAAAATTTGACTATAGTAGGTCAAGAGTCACTCTTGATATATCTTTGTGGGTCAGCGGTCAGGAACGGTCCGAAAAGGGGTTTAAATGATGAATTGAAAATATTATTTTTCAGCGTAAATACATGTGTATTTTAATTTTTTTAACCGCGTATTCATTTTCTACTCATTTTTCCCTATCTTTCCTTAAGATTAATGACTTTTTCTGAATCACCTGTATGTAAAATAAGTTTTTTCTCTTGTAGATATCTCAGAAGGCAAAGCTTGATTATATTTTCCATTATATTAATTTAAATACGCCCTGAATCTGTATCAAATATTTTAATTCCCATACCTGCAAATCGTCGTTCCGACTTCAACTTGTGTAGTAGTTTGGCCCAAAAAAAAACGATTATTTTTTTTATGTCTCTTGTGAAAAAATGTTAGTTTATCATTTTAAAAATGTTCAAAATCGTCAAAAATTGAATTTTTTTCTTTTTTTAATTTTTTTTCTCGTTATTTTATCATTTTCTAGGTTGAAAAAAATCTCGATTATGAAAATTTCAAATCGATATTTTAATTTCTAAAGGTCACTCATAATTATTTTAACTTGAAATGTAGTGTACCTAAAATGTTTTCGAGCGACCTCTAAAAATAAATATCAACGAACTAATAATTTTTTTTATTGAATGATGAAAAAAAGAATGGAAATAAATACGAGACACTTAAAAAATTTCTCAAGGCAAAATTTACTACGGCACTGTGAGTATCAAATATTTATAATTTTTTAAAATTTAAGTATCTCGTGATTTATTTCTATTCTTTTGTTCATCAAATTCAATAAAAAAATTATTAGTTCGTTCATATTTATTTTTTAGAGGTCGCTCGAAAACATAGGTACTTACACTACTTTGAAATAATAAAAATAATTATGAGTGACCTTTAGAAATTGAAATATCGATTTGAAATTTTCAGAATCGAGATTTTTTTTCAACCTAGAAAATGATTATTTTATCATTTAGAAAATGATAAAATAAACGAGAAATTTTTTTTATAAAAATCAATTTTTGACGATTTTGGAAATTTTTAAAAATCTTGACCTGATTTTTTGAGGGGACTCTTAAAACATGATAAACTAACATATTTTCAGAAGAGACACGAAAAAAAAAATCGTTTTTTTTTTTTGGGCCACTAATGTGTAGTTTATCAAATTGTTTGGTGATGTTAAAAAAAAAAATTCTTCTTTTTTATTTAAAAATTACAACGATTATTTTTAATTTTACCGCGGACAGTAACAATTCTGTAGAAAATAAGATGGCTGTGTTTAACCAGATTATGATGTTTGATATCGTTTATTGAATTCTTCTTTGCTGAAAATATGCACTTGTTGCATTTTGTAGGTGCAACGACAAAATACAAGAGTAGAGTCTAATATTTCAAAATGATCACCCTGTACTTACCGCGCAATGTTAAAATCAATTTTTTTTTCTAGGTGAAAGGTTCGCCATGATGAACGTCAAAATAGCACTGATAAATATTCTATCTCAGTTTGCTGTTGAACCCACGTCAACTACCCCAGTGCCCATAAACTTTACTAAGAAAAGTTTCGCCTTAAGATCCGATGTTGGTTTGCCCATGAGATTGGTCGAATGTAATTAATAAATTAAGATTTCATTTATATGTCAAGAATAATAATAATAAATATTAACGTTTATTTGCAATGTATAGGTAATAATGATAATACAATATTACAATGTATAAGTAATGATAATAATAAATATAATAATGATGTCTATTTACAATCTATAAGTACAAACATTGACAGTAAAAAGAAAAGTATGGGTAAATACATACATACTCGTAAAGTAAATTTTATAAGAACACTTGTCGACTTGTCTCCATAACTAAAAATGTAATCCCTAAATTTAACTTGAAAAAGCTACAGGGTTCAATAATTTACATTCTATTACTGAGGTAATAACTATTGTTAAAACACAGTTTTTTCACAAATATAATTTTAATAGATTTTAGAATAAAAACAACGATAACATATCTCAACACCACCTCGTCTCTAGTCGTTCTCTCTC